GTTCAAGGGGTATGAATACTTTTGCAAACCACTGTATGTTTCACTTTGGTGAAGTTTCCCTTCTGGATGTAACAGAGTTGATGCAATCCACTGTAAAAGTGACAAAAACACACAAAGTTATTTTATTGCAGTGATTAATTTGACCTATATGTAGAAAATGTTACATTTACATGATGACATCATGGATCAGTCAGCAGCAGCATCTGATCAATATGTGATCCATGTTAAAGAAAGGTGATTGATCGAAATCGCTCAAATTGTTCAAATCACGCCGCTCTATCGCACTAGACGCACCGAGAGCAGTTCCTGATGCTGCTTGACGCACGTCCACCATAGACTTTACCAGAAAACCCGACGCTCCTGATGCTGAAATCGCATTCGGTGTGGACGCAGCATTATAGGCAGTGTTTAACCTGGCAGACAGGAAGTAGGTAAATTATATATAAAAGGGTCCCAAGGACTGAGCCCTGAGGAACCCCACAGGTAATGTAATACCCAGATAAAAGTTTATCTTTATGTTTTTGGCAGCAGATGCTAATAAAACATTAAAATTTGAAGTCTCACCTGTCACTCATGTCCACTGAACTGTCACTGGGCGGTTCTATGGTCAGGACGGGGAGGTGTCCTCCCCCTCCTCCTCCCCCCGCCCTCCCTCTGTACTCCCCCCGACACTCGGTGCAGGGGGTGCTGCTCCTCCGGCTGGCGTTGCTGCCTCCCTCCGTCTCCCTGCTGTCCTCCCTCCCCCCTGCTCCTCCTCCGCCCCAGTAGTCTGTATCGGAGCTAGAGGCGGGTCGGGAGAGCGGCGAGGAGGRGAGGCAGCCCTCGTCCATGTACAGGGTGACGTCGCTGAAGGAGGTGGCGGTGCTGTCCTCGTGCATGGCGGCTCCTCCTCCCCGGCCTCCTCCCACCGGGCCAGCCGCTCGTCTGGAGGCCGTGTTTGTGTTGCGCCACCCGCACTGTCTGTAGTCCTCTTCGTCTTCCTCCTCGTCCTCCTCCCCTTCCTCTTCCTCTTCTTCCTCTTCCTCGTCGCCCTCTTCCTCATCCTCATCATCCTCGCCTTCCCCTCCAACGTCCTGCGAGTCTTCACGACCGGACTGGCAGGTGAGGGAGTCGTCCATGGAGTCGGCCAGAGACTTGACCTGCAGACAACAAAAATGATGATTTAAAGAAAAAAGGGTCCAAACTGAATTTAACTGTAGCTAAAACATTCTGCAACACAAACTTTATTTTAATAACAAATCTTTATAAATAAGAGATAGAGGTGGAGATCCTCAGGGCTCTGTGCTTGGACTGATACTCTTTACCAGTGGTGGGCAGCACTAATCTAAAAATTAGTTGCACTAGCCCGAAACCACTACCGCTAACTTTGATATTTAGGTCCCCTAATTCTAAAACACTAACTTTAACATTTAGGTCCCCTAA